GAGGCTCAGAGGATCGAGGTTCGAGGGCGTTTCCGTCGGTTCTCGGCGGCTTGCCAACGGCTGCTCCTCGCCGCGAGCATTCGCTGGGGGGTGCCTGGATTGTCCCAAGCGGCCGCCGGAGGCCCGAATCTTCATGGCCCGACACGTCCCTGCCAACCGTTGATTTGTTCTGGAATGAATTCGAGATTATACGGGTGCAACAGTCGTGTGGGCACCGGACAACTGCACCTCCATTGAAACAGCCAGCAAAACGGCAAGGCGGAGCACTGGGGGTTGGTGGGGTTGGAGGGCTGGTGAGTGGCAATGGCGCCCCCGTGGGCGCGCGCCCCTGCGGTGTCGGCCCTATGCCCCATGCAGCCCCTGGGGGGTCAGAGGGGTCGTCGCGGTCGGCAGCGGCCCGCAGCGCCGCACGAAGGGCTGAGCCGGGTGCGCTCGTGCGCCCAGATCGCGCTGTCGGACTCGACATCGTGGCTGTAGTCGAGGTCTGAGCGCTGAGCGTCGGCGACTGGCGGGCTCGAGCGGAGGCGCGGGGAGGGAGCGGCCTGACCGATGCCCATGGAGGGCGCGCCACGGGACCCCGTCTCGTCCGGGGGAGCGCTGGCCAGAGGTCGGTCTGGTGTGGTTCGGGGGACGGTGGCCTGGCACATGCCCACGGAGGGATCGCCGCAGGGGCCTCTCCTCGCCCAGGGCCGCCACCCACGGCTGGTTTGGCGTGCGCGGTGGATGGAGCTGTCGCTCGCCCTGGTCGTGGCTCGCGCGGTTGCGTTGGGAGGGAGTGGCCTGGCGATGCTGATGGAGGCATCGTCATCAAGGGGCCTCGCCTCACCCAGGGCAGCGCTGGGTAGAGGCTGGCGAGAAATGGCCTGGGAGAGGGCGGCCGGGCAGATGCCCATGAAGGCATGGCCGGGGCTCCTCTCCTCCCACAAAACAGCGCTGACCAGGGGACAGTTTGGTGTGGACCGGGAGGGAGTAGCCTGGCATGCACCCATGGAGGAATCACCAGGGGGCCTATCCTCGCCAAGAGGAGCACGGGCTCAAGGTTGGTCAGGTGTGCTCTGGGTGGGTGTGGCCTGGCAGATGCACACGGGGGGATCGCCACTTGGCCTCTCCATGCCCAGGGTAATGCCAGGCAGTGGTTGGTCTTGTTGGTGGTGCGTGGTCAGCAGGCTTTCGGCTGATGGAGGGGGATGCTGCTGAGTGGCCGGTCGAACCCCCTGGTGGAGTCAGCGCGGCGGCCTGGCCTGGCCGCTGGGGCTCGCCCGTTCGACTTGGTGGGATCTTCAGCGCTCGATGGTGAGCCAGTGTTCAGCTGATCTTGCGCTGGCCACAGAATCACTGGAGGGCCTTCCGCAACACTGTGGGTTGGAGGCCAGCACGGTGGTAGCGGCAGATGCGATCCACCTCGTCGGCCGCGACATGGACCGCTCGATCGAAAGCAACAACGGCACAATCGGAGCCCGCGGCGTTGAGGCCGCGACACAGGCGTCACGCCTCATGTCGTAGTGGTGTTTCCTGCCCGTCTTGTCCTGTACGTCCTCGAAGTCCCTGCAGGCCATGGCGGCCGCGTTGATGGGAGAGAGGAGGGGCCACCCGTCGGTGGCCACCGGAGTGGCGTCCGGTCTCACCATTTGGAGGGGCGTGGGGTCGGTTGCCAGGCCCAGTGCTGCGAGGGACACGTGAGCCGAGACTAGAGAGAGAGAGAGAGAGAGTGAGAGAGAGTGGCCGGGAAAGACTGGGGGGCCAGGAGTGGAGAGGCGGAGGACCAGGGAGACACCGAGGAGTGGGAAGCGGGGAGGACGAGGAGAACGAGGACGACGATGACGAGGAGCGCTACTGCCCACGAGGCGAGGGAGGAGATGAGGCTGGAGCCGTAGCGACAGCACCTCGCTGCTCGTCCGCAGCCTGCGAGCGCGCGGCAAGGGGAGACGACGACGGAGGCGGGAAGAGGACCAGGGGGAAGGGGAGAAGAAAAGGGAGGAGGAGACGAGCTCACCAAGAAACGAGGAGGAAGGAGAAGGAGGAGGAGGAGGAGCAGGAGAAAGAGGAGGAGGAGGAGGGAGGAGGAGGAGGAGGAGCAGGAGGGGAAGGAGGCGGAGGGAGGAGGAGAAGGAGAAGGACGAGGAGGAAGAGAAGGAGGATGAGGATGAGGATGAGGATGAGGATGAGGATGAGGATGAGGACGAGGATGAGGATGAGGATGCGGATGAGGAGGAGGAGGAGGAGGAGGAGGAGGTGGTGGTGGTCACTGCATAAGGGAAACAGCATCCCGAGCAGAGCAACACGCACCACGACCACGACGACGCCGACGACGACGACGACGACGACGACGACGGAGACGAGGCGCGCAAACGATCCGCACCGAAACACGGATTTGGGAAAGGGCCCACCCTGCAGGTTCGGTTAAACAGCACATCGTTGAGCGGTGCTGCAGCCTCCCCTGAGCACAGGCCCCCCCAGAGGAGGAGGAGGGAGGAGGAGGAGGGAGGATGAGGAGGAGGAGGAGGAGGAGGAGGAGGAGGAGGAGGAGGAGGAGGGAGGAGGAGGAAGGGGAGGAGGAAGGAGGAGGAGAGGAGGGGAGGAGGAGGAGGAGGAGGAGGAGGGAGGGGGCACCGGTCGACTCCCTGGCAACCGTCGCGACCGCGGTCGGGAACAGCAGAGGCGGACGGGCATCGAGACCCAACCCTATGGCCCGCCCCGTCCAGGGTCACCACCGTGATCAGCTCTGGCGCGGAGTCCCAGTCATAGAGTTGCATGGCCTCCTCGTTTTTCATGCCCTCTGCCTGCCCGCTGAGCTTCATGCCGCCTGGGGGTCGTGGAGGCAGGAGAGGACCAGCTGCACACCGCTGGAGGTGTAGAGCTGGGGGCCTCCAAAGAGGCGATCGGTTGTTTCGAATTTGGGGCTCGTTGTTCAAGGCGAGATGTTCTCTGACGAGGTCGTGTCGTCCTGAAACATGTTTGGCCCTATCGCCTTGTCACCCAACACGTCTCTGCACCTCCTTCTCCCTCTCCGCATCCGCCTCACCCAAACACTCGACAGAGACGCGCTGCATCTGAAGCAAGGGCCACGAAGAGGTAACAGGATGAGAACGACAAGAACAACGACGGTGGGGATACCGTGAATGGGAGGGCAGAGGGAGCAGAGAGGAGAGAGAAGGGAAGGAAGGATGAATAAGGGAGGACGAAGAGGAACAAGAGGGGGGAGCAGGGGCGGCAACAACATCAACAGGAGCAGGGCAGGGGTAGGGGGGCAAAGAGGACCGAGGTGGGAGAAAGAAAATATGAGGAGGAAGAGGGTGGGCATGAAGGCACCCGTCCATCCCGATCCCTGCAATTGTCCGAACACCTTGCTCTCCTGCTGCAGATCCCCATCCCCCTTCTGCCTCCTCCGTCCGACCCCTCCTCCTCCTCCTCCTCCTCCTCCTCCTCCTCCTCCTCCTCCTCCTCCTCCTCCTCCTCCCCCTCCTCCTCCTCCTCCTCCTCCTCCTTAGACTTGAACGAGTCCATCCCGCTGCCCGTGGTTGTCCTCCTCTCCCGTCTCACCGCGATCCTCTGCGGGAGCCCTCTGCCCCGTGGCGCGGGCGCGGGGCCGCCTGGGGACGAGAAAAAGCGCAGCTGCGGCGACCGAGCCTCCAGCTGCGCGGACTCCGCCCCCAAGCCCACGGGGAATACCTCGCCGGGCGCACGGGCAGGGCGAGGGGAGGAGTCTCGGAGAAGGAGGGGGGAAGGATTAAGTCGGGCCTGTCCCCCTACGGGGGGATTTTCGACAAAAAATAAAAAATGTCCCCAAAATAGCCCCAAAATAATCCAAACATAGTCTGGGGACTATTTTTTGAATATTGTTTAACCTTCTTGGGGTATTTTTGGGGTATGTTTTATTTTTCGTCGAAAATCTCCCTGTAGGGGGACACGCCCGACACAAGGGAAGGAGAGGAGGGCTAGTGACCGCAGCTGAGAGCGCGAGTCTCCTGGCGCGCGGCAGGCTGCCGAAAAGAAGAGGGCACGCGAAGCCGAGATATCGACGCGACCAAGGAATGCAGCGTCGAATCGACCGTCGGCCGCCGCCGAGTGCAAAGCTGGAAGGCAAGTGGCACGTGCTGCTCCGTGCGCGGCGGCGAGAGGCGGGCACGCTGCAGCAGGGGCCACCGCCCGGGCAGCGAGAGTGGATCGGGCGGAGGGAGCTCGGGGAAGCAGAGGAGGCGACACAGGGCAGGGCGCGGCAGGCGGTGTGGAGACGCATCGGGATCGCGCGCGCGCGACAACGCGGGGGCGGCGACGGAGCAAGTGCGCGCCGTGGGTCGTCGCCTGCCCCGCCCGCGACGGCCTCGAGGACGGCCCAGCTCCCGCCGGGGCGCACCACTCCGAGCGCCACACCGTTGGGGCCGACCACCCCGCGAAGAGCCCTCGGCAGGCGGAGGCGGCCGATGGAGACGATACGGGGCCACATGCGAACCCTACCCCCTGCCCCCCCCCCCCTCAGAAATCGTGGGGGGTAGGGGGAGGGTTCGCGTGTGGCTCTAGACGAGCCCGCGGCTCGAGGCGCTTCCGGAGGGGAAGCGGTGGAGGGCGACCCAGAGAGCGACCGACGTAGAGCCTCCGCCTAAGACGAGGTCAAGACGAGGACGAACTCGGGTGAGGATACTTCGAGGAACTCTGAGATCCAGCGGCTCTGGAGGATGTCTAGGGCGCCGCGGCCCTCTCAGAGCGTTCCGGAACGCCCTGAGAGCGTTCCTGAACGCGCCGGAACGGATTTCTCCTCGTCCTAACCCCGTCCGACCGCCATCACCTTCTGTACCTTCGGGCGGCGGGGCCGTTCCGCGCGGTGCTGGCGGCGACGAGCTCCGCTCGCGCGGCGGCGCGGGGTGCTGCAGCCGCTGGGGCGCTGAAGGGCACGGCGCCAGTCCGCCAGGCAAGGCCCGGCGTTGTTGCGCGATGGCTCGCGGCGCCTCCCAGAAGAGAGGAGGCCGCAAAGCCGCGGGCTCGCGAGCGCCGTGGAGCACCGCGCACTCCTCCCAGGCGGTGTCGCACAGGGGCACAGGTAACGGCTGCCACGAGCGGCGAGGGTGCGCGTGGCCGAGCGGGCGGCAGCAGCAGTGGCTGCTGCCCCGCACAGACCTCGGGACTCTCTGCGGGCCTCACTCCGCCTTGCCAGCCAACTCCGCACCTCGAATGTGTTCGGTGGCATGCGCGGCATTGCATTCAACACTCATCAAAGCTCACGGTTCATGATTCGCTTCTCGAGCAAAAACACACACATCGCAGCCTCACTGAGGGCTGGGAGAGTAGAGGCAGGGGAAAGGCGAGTGGTCGCGTCGTTGCTCCCCCAGGACAAGCGCGAGCATGCGGCCCCGAGACCGCCGCTTCCGCCAGAGGGCGAGCTATGGGGAGGCGAGAGGGGCGGGTGGGGCCCGAGGACGTCGCCGAGGTCTTCGGCGTGCCCCGGACCGAAGAAGCGCCCCAGGACGGACGACTGTCCCACGGGCGGAGGAGGAGGAGGAGGAGGAGGAGGAGGAGGAGGAGGAGGAGGAGGAGGAGTACATGGGCGCCCCAGGACAGACGAATGCCCGCCCACCTGGGCACGGGCGAGGGCTCGGGTGCCCAGTGCGCGGCAGGCTCTCCGGACGGCGGCCCCTACGGCGGCGGCTCGTGCGCGACGGCTCCCACGGGCGGAGGAGGAGGAGGAGGAGGAGGAGGAGGAGGAGGAGGAGGAGGAGTACATGGGCGGCTCGTGCGCGGCTGCTCCCACGGGCCCACTGCGGCGCTCTTGCGTGGCGGTTCCCATGGAGGTGGCTCCCACGCGGGGCGGCTCCTGCGCAGGCGGTTCCCACTCGCGGCGGCTCCCACACTCACCTTTGGGGGACGGCGTCTACAGTCGGGGCCTTGACCTAAGGAACCCAAAATAAGAAACGAGGCCCCTTTTTTCCAGAAGTTAAACTTCGATTTCCTATCGAAAACCTAAGGAAAACCTCAGGCAAGCTGCGAAACACTTAAGGAACGCGAAGCCCCTCCCCAACGAAAAGGGTTCCTTCTTCAGGGCCCCGACTGTACGAGCCATCATCGCGAGGTTCCTCCGGGCCTGTAGTGCCTGGGGCAGGTCGCTTCTGCCTCACTCGCAGGCGCTGCGGCACACGGCGGGATGCAGCAACACTCGCCGCAGTGCACTGCACAGCGAGGTCCGTTCTGGTGCTGCACACCAGCATGGTCGGCTCCCCCCTGTGCCCACGTAGACGCTGATTGTCGTTTTGACAACCATGCGACTATAAATGCTCATCACCATCACACTCATAAAGCATCACCACCATCATCATCATCATCATCATCATCAACATCATCATCATCATCATAATCATCATCATCATCATCACCAGCAGCAGCACCACCACCACCACCAGCACCATCATGAGCAACATCATCGTCGTCGTTGCCATCATGATCAACATCACCAGCATCATCATCGTCATCACCACCATCAGCAGCATCAGTAATACAATCATCGGCATCATCACCACAATCACCATCACCATCACCATCAACATCGTCATCATCACCACCACAATCATCGTCATCATCATCAGCACCATCACCATAATCATCCTTATCATCGTCATCGACTTTGCCATTTCACCACTAGTACCATCAGCAGCAGCATCACCATCGTAATCATCATCGTCATCGACCTCATCATCAGTATCACCGTGATCATCGCCAGTACCAATACCATCAATGTCATATTCAGAACCATAATCATGCTCATACTCATCATCAACACCTTCAACATCGTTCACTCCGCTCTTCTCACCCATCATCATTGTACACCTCCTCGTCTGCCGCTTCGTCAGACTTGTCACCGTCTTCATCACGATCAACCCCAGCGTCTCGGCATCATATCCCTCATTCCTGTCTCCGCCACTGTATTGATTCTTCCCTCCAACCACATCGTGGACCACAATCGCAACTTCTCGAGTAACTACTGCGCCAAAAAACAGAACGGAGGGGAGTACGGAGGCGTCGAAAAGAGCAGGAGGAAGGAAAGCAAGAGAGCGAGGAAAGCGGGGGGAGGGGGGAGGGGGGAGCGGCAGGAAGAGGCCGCGACCGACACATGAACGCGCTTGTCAGCACGCAATGCGCCGCGCCTCGCCGGGCAACAACTGGAACGCGATGTCTCGCCGCTTCAAGCTCGAGGGTGGATGTGTCAGCGACGCCGGGCACACCGACGCTCGGCATCTGGTTGCCGCATCATCTTCCTCCTCCGCGTCATCCTACCATACTCCCTCGACGCAGCAGGGAGAGGCATGCAGAGGAGGAGGTGCAGGGGAGGTGGAGAATGGTGAGGAAGGGGGGGTGCAAGACCTCAGGAGGCAGGAGGGGGAGGATGAGGTAGGAGACGACAGTAGGAGGAATAATAAGATAAGGGTTGCGGGGGTACGAAAGACGAGAAGGTGGGTAGTGGGAGGGGGAGGACGAGGAGGAGACGGAGGAGGAGCCTGCTGTCCCCGCCTATGTAAGTTCCACGCTTGGCGCCAGGAAGAGGAGCAGCCTCCTTCTACTCCTCCTCCTCATCCTCCGCCTTCTCCTCCTCCCTCCTCTCTCTCCCGCCTCCCATGCTCCCTCATCCCTCCTACACCCTCGTTCCTCCATCGTTACTGCTCCTGCCCCCCTCCCCCCTCTTCGCCCCTCGTCTCCTGTCCTCCTTCTTCTCCTCCTCCTCCTCCTCCTCCTCCTCCTCCTCCTCCTCCTCCTCCTCCTCCTCCTCCTGTTCCTCCCCCTCGTCCTTTTCTCACCTGCTCTTCTCCTCTCCTCCTCTTTCTCCTCTTTCTCCCCGCGAGCCCCCTGCCCCAGCTCACCCAAGCGCTGCTGAGGCCGTTGATCGCGACGTTGGCGGACACGATCTGCTGCAGCCACCGGAAGGGCTCGAAGGCCAGGACCTCGCCACGCGGCCTCTTCCCCCTCCCCATCCCCATCCTCCTCCCCCTCCCCCTCCCTCCTCCTCGTCCTCCTCCCCCTCCTTCCCCCTCCCCCTCCCTTATCCTCCTCCTCGTCCTCCTCCCCCTTCCTCCCCTCGTCCTCCTCCTCCTCCTCCTCCTCCTCCTCCTCCTCCTCCTCTCTCCTCCTCCTCCTCCTCCTCCTCCTCCTCCTCCTCCTCCCCCTCCCCCTCCCCCCGCCTCCTCCTCCTCCTCCTCCTTTTCCTCCTCCTCCTCCTCCTCCTCCTCCTTCCTCCTCCTCCTCCTCCTCCTCCTCCTCCTCCTCCTCCTCTTCTTCCTCCTCCTCCCCCTCATCCTCCTCCTCCTCCTCCTCCTCCTCCTCCTCCTCCATCCTCCTCCTGCTCCACTCCTCCTCCCTCCTCATGCTCCTCCTCCTCTCCTCCTCCTCCTCCTCCTCTCCTCCTCCTCCTCCTCCTCCTCCTCCTCCTCCTCCTCTCCTCCTCCTCCTCCTCCTCCTCCTCCTCCTCCTCCTCCTCCTCCTCCTCCTCCTCCTCCTCCTCCTCCTCCTCCTCCTCCTCCTCCTCCTCCTCCTCCTCCTCCTCCTCCTCCTCCTTCCTCCTCCTCCTCCTCCTCCTCCTCCTCCTCCTCCTCCTCCTCCTCCTCCTCCTCCCTCCTCCTCCTCCTCCTCCTCCTCCTCCTCCTCCTCCTCCTCCTCCTCCTCCTCCTCCTCCTCCTCCTCCTCCTCCTCCCTCCTCCTCCTCCTCCCTCCCCTCCTCCTCCTCCGCCTCCTCCTCCTTCCTCCTCCTCTCCTCCTCCTCCTCCTCCTCCTCCTCCTCCTCCTCCCTCCTCCTCCTCCTCCTCCTCCTCCTCCTCCTCCTTCTCCTCCTCTCAGGCAACTTGGGCTCAGAACTCCATTTTGGCAGCCCTGAGTCCAGCACTGCGCCTCATCGCGGTGCTTGGGTGGCCCGCGCCCGCAGTCACCTCTTGTGCCAGCGTGCGCGGTGGCTAAGCAGTGCGAAGTGAGATCATTACTTTCTTTCTCGCTGCATCTCTGCGCTGGCATGGGCGGCAGAGGAGGCAAGAAGGGTGGCAATAAAGGTGACGACAGCAGCGCACGGCGATTGTGGACCAGGTGCCCCTCCTGTTCACAGTGCGAGTACAACGACATTGTGGTCACTCGCAATTCGACCTGTGCGTGTGGCACGTGGCTCACACTTCATCGGGAATCTGTCGGCAAGAAGAAGAACAACGGCGGCAAGGGGGTAGACAATAGTCTCCAGCTTGCGCCCTCGGCCAGCAGGGGCACCGCAGGCGACGCCGCCGCCTCGAAGGTGCAGGCCTTCCAGGCCGCCATCACCGCAGCCGACGACGGGCCTCTACGTGCAGCTCTGGTAGCCCACGTGTCCAAGCTGAAGGACCAGGGCAGCAAAGCTGAGAGCGACGTCAATCCCGAAGGTGCGGTCAAGAGAGCCACTGGAGCTGTTCGTGATGCCACCTTGAAGCATGATCAGTCAGTGCAGGCCCTCGTCAAAGCCAGATCCAATCTCGTTCGAGCTGAAGAGCGGGAGAAGGAGACTGCCATCAACTTGGCGAGGGCTGAGAAGCAGAAGAAGTTGGCGGTGCAGGCTCTTGCGGCTCGAGTTGGGGTAGCTGGCGCGACGCAGTCCTCCGACGCAAGGGAGGGCATCTGTGAGCTCAAGTTTGATGAAGCTTTCTTCCCGAACCTCGAGCAGATCGAGGGCATCACCGAGAAGGAGATACAGGAACTGCGCGAGGTTGAGGCCAAGCTCCGTGAAGTCAAGCAGCAGGTTGAGTCGAAGGGCTCGGACGTGCAGACTTGGCTTGAGAAGAAGACGAATATCCAGGATCAGGTCCGTGAGCGTCTGCTGAAGAAGAGGAAGGCCAATGATGGCCAAGCCGAGCCTGGCGGTGCACCTGACCTTGGTGCAGGCTCTGGCGGCCCTGCGGCCGCAGCGGCGCCGGCGCCGTCACCCGAGGAGGAGGCCGCTGCTGAGGACGAGATCAAGGAGCAGGCGGAGCGCATCAGCCAGGCCAAGATCGCTGCAGCTGAGAAGGTAGCGCAGGCCACCGCTGAGGCTCGCGCCGCAGCAGCCGCGGGAGGTGGTTCCCAGGCCTCGCGAGGCCACGAGGGCGTCGGCGCGGCCCTCTCGGCGCCGACGCGTTCCTCAAAAGGGCCACTCCCACCCAGCGCCGATGGCGCATCGGGACGGACGGCCGCGTCGCCGCCTGCTGGAGCTGGAGCCGCGGTCCAGGACATCGGCCAATGCGACGACATCGGCGACGCTGTATGTAGCGGCAGTTCGTTTCGAATCTTCTACAGTAATATTACTACTTTAGGGCCCAAGGCTCTCAAGTTTTTCATGAGAATGTCTCTCGGTTCCAGGTCTGGGGGTTTGCCGATACTCACGTCGACCAGGCCTCCCAGGCCAAGTGGGCCAAGGAGGCTCGAGCTCTTTCCCATCGGTCGTTCTTCAACCCTGCCCGCCCTTCGGGCAAGGAGATGTCTGAATCGCAGGTTTCAAAAGCTAATGAGGACGGTGAGGCTCTTTTCGTGGAAGGGCACCGTCAGGCGCAGTATGCTGGATCTGCGCAGACTTTCCCCGACCTCGCCGTCCCCTCTTGCAACGCTCTGGATGGGTTTCTCCCCATCACTCTCCACATGAAAGGATATTCGGTTGTCTTTGTTTTGTACTATGGGCTCCAGAAGTCTCAGGGAGTTTTCGGTGACGACGCTAGGAGGCTCACGCGTCTCGGGGCCTTCTTGGCAGCGCTCGCCTTCCCCTGGATTGTCTTGGGAGATTTCAATCTTTCCCCTACGGAGCTCAATAAGTCTCGTTTCTTAGATTCCCTCGACGCGGTAGCAATGACTGCCGACGTGGAGTCCACATGCGTCACAGGCACAGGCAGTAGTCACATTGATTATCTAGTCGTCAGTAGTGCTGCTCGTTGTTACATTCAGTCGATACACGCCAAGCTAGACGTGCCATGGGGCACGCACTGCGGATTGATTGATTCTCTTGCCAGCACAAGTCGCCTTCTATTGACTCGGTCTTTGCAGTTATCGCCCAAGCTTCCTCAGGTTGCCAGGCCAGGGTCTCTGCCCCAACCTGGTAGCAAGTCCAGCAAGTCCAAGCAGGCTAGGATGAAATCCAAGCAGAAGGCCGCCGAAGCTTTTCGCAAAGCTTGTGACGATTTTTTTTTGTTTTTTTTTTTTTTTTTGAAAAAAAAAAAAATGTTCAGTCAGCATTCGGAGGTCAATCTTCAGGCTGGCGGATCCACAGTCTCTGGTCACTCTGACCCCTTTGAACTTAGCCCTGCTCTCTTTGGCGAAGAGGATGAAGATCCTTTCGAATGCGGCCAGGATGAGCAGATCGATGAGCGGAGCATGAGCGACCCCCCCAGCGTTTTCCCCCCCGCGGAGGAATTAGGTGAATCTCGAGAAGTTGAGCTTCCGTCAGTGCCCTTCCTCGTTCCTGACTCCACATGGCGTCACCATTCGGCTCAAATTGGTTTCGTTCCTCAAGCCAGGGAAGACGTACCCAGCTTTATTCGGGATTCGCACGCTTTTACGGTTGGGGGGCCGCATATTTTGGCAGTCAGCAGTCGGTTTGCATCTTGGGTACAATCAGCTGAACGCTCTATTTCCGCTCATCCTTCTGCTGATCCAGGAGGCCAAGTCTTTCAGGGTCGATCTCGAGCCGAGGGACCCTCCTTGCAGCAGCAGGAGGTTCAGCAGGCGCTTAAGTATCGCGAGCTTCCGCTCTCCGATAAAGTTGCTACCTGGTGGTCTCGGGTCTGCGTTGTCCTCCAAAGGATCCACAGGCACCGTGAACGTGCTAATGGTTGTAAGCAGATTAGGGAATTGGTAGCCACTGGGATTCAGCTGTCTCAGGGCGCCCCTCCTCAGGCTCATGAGGTGCCCAGGTCACACTTTCAGGAACTTCAGGAACCTCCCCTGGAGGCCCGGGTGCATTACCTGGGTGTTATGGGGCAGCACAGTCTGGATGTCCTTGGCAAGCTGGTATCTTGGGCAGAGCGTATCGCGAAGCGTGCCCAGTGCAGAGCAGTCAAGCGTTCTTTGTTTCGGTTTCAAGAGTGGATTGTCGACGGCTCCAAGCAAGGCCAAGTTTTTCGGAGCCTGCGAGCTGACCCAGTTCCTGATGATGAGTTTCTACATCAAGGGGCGCGGCTTTTTAACCCTGTCGATGTTATCGATGCCAAGGCCACGAAATATCATAAATTGTGGGCTGATAAACCAGTGCATTCTCAGTATGCTGGTGGGATTTTTGATCGTTTGCGCCGCGGCGCTGCGTCCGATGTGCTCCCACCGCTCACTGTGCAGGATCTCAGGACAGCTTTACGCAAGAGGCGTCCATCAGCTGGCCTTGGCGTCGATCCACTGACCCCTCTGGATTTTGAACGGCTTCCAGACGGCGCTCTTCAGTCCTTGTGCGAGCTCTACGCGGCGTGTGAGCAGACGCTCACCTGGCCTTGGCAAGTTCCGGTGGCATTGGGGAGGTCATTAGCCAAAAAATTTGGGGGCGACAGGGTCATGAGCCTTATGGGTATGATATGCCGTTTGTGGTCGCTGGCCCGTGACGGACTTGCCAAACTTGGGTCCGAGAGAACCACGCCTGCTTGGGGCGCGGCCATCTCAGGCAACTCGGCGTTGAGGGAAGCGTTTCGGAGGGATCTTGACGCCGAGGTTTACCGTCGTTTGGGGCTTACGCTTAGCCAGGCTATTCTCGATATTAAGAGTTTCTACGATTCTATTGTATTGGATATTCTGGTTGATACAGCTACGCGTTTAGGATTTCCGTCGGTTGTCATGGCGCTGGAGCTGCAGTCGCGCATGGCTCCGCGTATTCTCTCCCAGAGCGGGGCCAGCAGCCAGGCATTTCAACCCTCCAAGTCTGTCGTTCAGGGTTTACGTAACAGTACACGCTTTGCTAGATGTTTAACGCATCTTATCTTGGAGCGGCTATCCCAGGTTCCCCTTTCGGCATCGTGTAGGATTTGGATTGACGATCTTATGCTTCAAATATTGGGGTCGCGTAGGGTTGTTGAAGATTCCACCGTCGCTGTCGTGGATATGGTGCCCACGTCCACGCAAGAGCACGAGCTCAAGCTTGCGGACAAGAGCGTCGTACTCAGTCCGCTGCACGCCGTTGCCAAGCAGATCGCTTCTCGGTTGAAACGTCGTGGAGTTCAGATCAGCCCCGTCCTCCAGGCTCCTTCTATGGGCATTGATTTGGGGGGGGGGGGGGGGTCAAGAGGCAGGCTAGCAGACGAAGAAGGCAGCGGGCCATGGGGGACGCAGCAGCATCGTAAGCTTAAAACTTTTTGCCCGTAACAGCTCGACGATTACACGTTGACAGAAGATTGTTGCTGGGCCTCATCTTGTGGAATTCTGGCTATAATATCTACGGAGTGACGGGCAGCATTTACAGCGTCTTCGGCAGCGTTTTAGGTGCCGTGGCTGGCTCTGCAGAGGAGAAAGGGCAAGCGCCTCACAACGCTCCTAGATATTCGTGCACCTGGCGGGGGCCCAGGCATTAACTCTGCGTCGTCGTGCGTTTAAGACTTGGCCTTGGTTGTGGATCAGGTGTACCCAGAATCACATGCGGGCGTTCTTCGTGTTTGGATGGGGTCCCACAGGTACCGGCATCCACAGCCACGGACATGAATAAGCGATCGAGGCGCATTCCGGGTCCCATCTCGGCTGTTGCGACGCATCGCATTTGATGTCTGCAGGTTGGACCCCCTCCGCACACAACGACTGGAAAGGCCCGCGGCTCTCGACAGGCGACTTTGATTTTCAATGGACCTTCCCAGCAGATGCGTTAGTTTCAGTTGACGAGGCCAAGGGTCTCTTGGAAGACTTTCAAGAATCCCTGGCCATGCAGCATTGGGCTGTAGCTGAGCAGCATTATTGCGGGTCGGGTATCTCAGGAGGAGTGGACAATTTTTCTCTCCGTCACTTACTTCGCCAACTCGGGGGGGGGGGGGCAAACATGGGAGGCAGTTAGCAGAGGTTATGGTTTGCATTGCTACGGGTGGATGTTGGACCGAGGACAGGAAGTTCCAGGGAGGTTTGATTGCCGTCAACGAGTGCCCTCGCTGTAAACTCGCCAAGCGTCCGTCCACGCCCGAGACACCCGAGCATCGTCACTGGTTATGCCCCAGCAACGCTAATCATCCCGCCTTCTCCGACTCAGATCAGCTTGTGCCTCGGGCCTTATCCCAAGGCCAGAGCGAGGCATGCTTTTGGCATCGTGGGCTCTGCCCGCAAGCTGGACAGCAGCGCCGCCGCCGCCCGAGCAAGAGCAGTGGTTTCACGCTGACTTGCTGGCCAACGAGCTCATCCCAGGCGCCCTGGGTGTGGGCGCGGAGCAGGCGCCACTCTACATTTTTGGAGATGCCTCTGCTGGGAAGGAGGGGAGGGATGAAAGGTTGAGGAGAGTCGGTTTTGGCATCTGCTCGGCGTTGTCTTTGTCTCCCTTTGTTTTCGGACCCGTCGTTTTCGGTCCTCTCACTGGGCGACACCAGTCCGTTCCGAAGGGGGAGTTGAGAGGCCTCGAGTTGGCCATTCGTTTCTCTTGGGGATTAGATTTGCACTACTGACAATGAAGTGGTCGCCAGGGGGTGGTATGAGCGGCTATACGAACGGCCGTATGGAGCCCTCGCGTCCATTTGGAGAAAGATCGGTGTGCTGTTGAAGGCTCGCATCGGCTCGGTTGTGGTCTTAAAAGTGGCATCGCATGTCGTTCCGCCCGACAATGTGTTTCGTCGCTACCCCAGCTGGATGATTTGCGGACGGGGCCGCTGATGAACTCGCCAGAGTCGCCGCCCAAAATTCCAGAGCTGCTAGCCCACTTGTTCGAGTGGCCGCGCAGAGAGTATGGCGAGGCTGGTGGGCTGGTGCGAAGACGGTTAATGAGGTCCACGTCGGCTGCGATGGAAGGCTCCCGTTCAGGTGCGTCGGGCTGAAATCGTCTGGGCGCCCTCCTGCTGCTGCTGCTGCTCTGCCCCCGCCTGCTCACCCCCCCTCCTGCCGCCGTCGCCCTCTTCGCCTCCGCCCATCAGCTGGACGAGGCGGGGACGAGGTGCACGCGGTGTAGATGCGCTTCGTCGGCGGCCGCCAGACGGCTGGCTGTCCCCGCGCTCAAGCCTCCGCGGGGGTTTAGAGTTCATGTCGGGGGGTGGGTTTGGCTCATAGCTCGCGCGATATGGTTTTTTTCGCTCATGGCTCGCACGATATGGTTTTTCTCTGGATTCTGGAGTTTGGATATGCGGGAGTTGCGGGTTCTTTGGGGAACTCGTTATGCGCGGGTTGGCCCAGCCCTGCGATCCCCAGCATATTTCCAAGAATCGGCGGGAATGTTTGGACCGTTGTGAGAGGGGCCTTAGGCCCAAGTCCAAACTCTAATTTTATTTTGGCATGACTTCGTCATCGAGCCCATTCCATTCCATTCCTCCTCCTCCTCCTCCCCCTCGCCCTCGCCCTCCTCCTCCTCTTCCTCCTCCTCCTCCTCCCCCCTCCTCCCCCTCCTCCCCCTCGTCCTCCTCGTCCTCCTCCTCCTCCTCCTCGTCCTCCTCGTCCTCCTCGTCATGGTCAGCATAATCGTTCTCAGAATCAGCATAATCATCATCAGACACATCAGAATAGTCATCATGTCCATCATGATGATCCGCCAGCCCTTTTTGCGGGGCCGCCACGCTGTAAGGCGAAGTTGCTGTTCCCTGCGCCACTTGCAGTCTCAAGTCTCCAATGTCACAGTCCTGACTTCTGCTTCCTATTGTGATAAATTGCTAAGGTCCGCGCGAGGGGGGGGGGCCCAAAAGGATCCTATGTTCCACGCCCGTGGGGGGTCGCGGGCGATGTAAAAAGACGTGAGATTCGCGCCCCCGAAGCCATACACCATCGTAGATTACGCCGCATGCGCGCCCCCGAGGCCACACATTTCTGTAAAGTCAGAGCGAGGGGGCCGAACGGTCATTCATTGTCCCTGGGTGCGTGGCTGAATAGGAAACTCGTGGTGAGTATTCTGCTCGTTGTGCTGTTGTTGTTGGCGGTGGTGTTGTTGTCGTTGTTGCGACCCACCCCGCGACCCACCCCGCGACCCACCCCGCGACCCACCCCGCGACCCACTCCTCGACCCGCCCCGCGACCCACCCCGCGACCCACCCGCGGCCCAACCCGCGACCCACCCCGCGACCCACCCGCGACCGGCGCGGCCGCCGGCGCGGACGGCGGCGGCCACGTGGAGCTCGATCCAGATGGCGCGCTGATGACGAGGGCGGAGACTGATGGCGCGCGCGCCCAGCTCGGCAACAGCGCGTCGCCAGGCGGTGCCAGAGGCGCGGCGGCTCGCGCGTTGAGGTTGCTTCCCCAATCGCGCCCCTGAGCTTGCCCCGTTGGGGACGGACCCCCCGCTCGCGCCCGCCGCTGCGGCGGTGGTTGTGGTTGTGATGTGGAGGCTGCTGGAGCTATCGGCACTGCCGGCGTGGCCGTTGCTCCGGGCCGCCGCGGGCGGCGCAGCTTCTCCCGCCGCTGCCGCGCGGGCCGCCGACGCAGTCGCAGAGCCCGCCGGTCGCGCGAAGTCTTGCGCGCGGCTCATGAGCCGCCATCCCCCGTCGCAGTCGCAGTAGTTCGTTGTGACGAGGGTTGGGCGATGACGAAAATGAGCATGATGCACTCACCAAGCGCGCCCAATGGCTGCGGCCAACGCTTTGCCGAGAGCCGCGCGACGATGCACCTGGATCGGCTGCTGGCGCCACCAGCCGCGGCGGCGGCGCCGCTGGAGTCGGCCGTCAGCCGTTCGGGTCAGCGACCGGCGTGGAATCGCCCCCCCCCAGAGCCCAGAGCCACAGGCAGCGGCGTGCCGGAGGCACCCCTGGCCACCCGCGCCGCGCGCGCCCCTGGCACGGGCTGCTACTCGGATGGACGCGGCGGCCCCCGCTGTCCTAGAAGCGCGAATGGCGGCGACGCTGGGGCGTCGGCGCCAAGGAAGAGAGCGCGCCTTTGGTCGCGGCGCCGGGGGCAGTCGCGCACGAGGTGCTCCACAGAATCGCACTCGCGGAATTTGAGTCGCGCCCCGCCATGCCCTGCGGGTTTGCCTTGGCGGCCAAAACCCGCGGCGCAGGTCCTGATCTCCCCTGCCCCATTGCCTTCGCCCCCCCCGATGCCCGCGAAAGTCCCCCGGATGTCGTTTTCGGACATGTCGGCCGGATAGGCGCGGTAGCCCTTGCCTTGGCACTTGCCCCATTGCCGTTTCGTTCGATGATCATCTGGCCGCGGCGCGCGGGCGCGCGGCTGTTGAGACCGCGCCATCGCGCGCTGGCGCGCCCTTGAATCCAAAAGAGGCGCGCGCCGCGCTGTTCCGCGGGGGGGTCGCGTAGCTCGGGGTCGTCTGCGGCTATTTCTGCGTCGAGGGCGCCGATGGCGTCGGCGTCTGTGCCTGGGCCCGCACCTGCTGCAGCCTGTGCTGGCGACGCCGCGCCGGCGTTGCCAGCTGCTGCTGGCGCGGGCAAGCTCAGCGCCGCTCCGAGCGCAGCTGGGCCCATGCCATCCCAGCTCGATCCGGCCATGGCGCCACAGGCGCCCTGAAGCTGATCTCGCGCGGGCGCATCCGCAAGGGAGGCTCGCCGTTGGGCGGCGCGGGCCGCCGCGGCGAGTTCGCCTGGCGACCATTCAATCATATGCCCGAAACGCCGCAGGCGGCCCGTCACGCGCGCGAGCTGCGCGGCGTTCGCGGGGCAGGCCACTTCGCCGCGCTGCAGGATCATGGCCAGCTGGATGTTCGACGCGCTAATGGCGCGCAGCAAGATGAAGCCGATGCCCTCAGACCCGATCGTGAGTTGACTAGTTGCTGCGCCGAGTTTCTGAGGATGTCGAACCTCGCGAGGAAATTGTCGATGCGCTCTTGCGGCAGTCGGTTGATGCCCATCATTGCCGACGCTGCCGGAGCGCGCCCCGCCTGGCCCAATTGGCACCGCCATTCGGCCCACGTGCGCATCGGGAAGGTCAACGGCGGCGCTGGGTCGCCGTTGATGAGCCCTCCCTGGATCAGGACAACCAGCGGCCATTCGTCCGCGCACCCGCGCGCCGTGCCGGCGAGGCGCGACGAAACGCAGGCCGCCGGGCGAAACTCGTTGAGGTCTGAGTTCGCCACTGACCAGATCATCACTTAGCGCGCCCGCGTCTGGGGAGGCACTCAAGCGTGCTGCTCGGGCCCCCAGGCGCGGAGGCGTCGCGCGTTGCCACCGCCACCGCCTGCGCCCTGCAGGCGACGCAGCTGGCGACGGCAATCGAGCCCACTCCAAGGGCCTTCCATCCAGGGCGCATTTCCCCCTGCATGTCGCGGAGGCGCAGGAGGCAAAGAACCCACTGGCGGCGCTGTTCGGGGAGTGCGCCTCCGAGCTGCCATGGACGTGTGCCCCGGATGGATCCTCCTTGTCTGCGAAATGGGCGTTTGCTCCCATCGTGCGTTTGTAGTGAACTCAGTGCTCGGAACATGCCGTGACGCAGTCAGGGGCATGCTCTTCGCATGTCACGTAGTCACTGCACTGAGCACTGCCAACTGCACCATCGTCGAGAGAAGCGCGCAGAGGGACCCAATCCTGCCAGGCTGCAAGGAATGCGTGGGTCGGGCGAATGGTCATGCGCCAAGAGATCGAAGACTTCGTTGTCCCTGTGAGTGCTGGTGGCGCAGTGACCTAACCCCCCAGAGCATCCTCGCTCATCTCGGCTTGCTCTCCCCTAAGGCTGGCGCGACACAGTTGCCAGAAGCTCGGGGCCCCTAACTAGCGGACACCGTGCATGTGAACGCTGCATCGAGCAACTGTCCGACATCTGCGGCTCTTCCCGCAGACGCGTGCACTGCCGGCGTAGGGTCCGCCAGCTGCCCTGACACAGTCAGTGCAAACCCGGGAAGGATCTCTGAGAGCTCCGGAGGTTCGGCGTCGTCGTCGGCGGCGGCGCGGCAGGGGTCCTCGTAGGTATTGCTGATGTACTTGTTAAGGTAGGTGCGCCCCGTTCCCGTCACCGGTCTCGGCTGATGGGCAGCTGCCCCAACGGGCCCTACAGCGGCGCCTCCTGCCATGGCGAGCGGGAAAGGCGCGCGAAAGTGACGTTAAGAGCGAATCTGCGATGGGGTGACCAGCGTGATGAACTGCTGGATGTAGAACGGCGGAGGGCGGGAGCTGGTGCCATCGAGGCAAGGCGAGACATGCCGGTGGTTAAATTGGAGCCGAACCTCGGCTGCCAAATCATGATTTAGCCTGACGAAGGACCTAACCGTATGCAGCTGCGAGCACCGCGAAGGATCTGAGACGGAGGAGGGGTGCCCGCGGTGGCCCAAGCCACGTGCGCGGCCGCTTTGTCTTTATACCCTCCCCAGTTTATTACTCTCTTTCTTTGTTTCCGTTGCGCGTTGCACGTTTGTACTATTTGGCCTGAGCACCTTGCGCGGCCGTTTTGTCATCTTCTTCCTAGCTTATTATCCTCTCTCTCTATCCGTGTTTGCGTTGCGCGTGGCATTATTGGTGTCTTGCTTTGGCATGACGTCGCCATCGTCGTCGTTATCGGATTCCTCGTAGTAGTGGTGCATCGCTCTGTCCCAGCCACACCCGAGCGGGCTCAGCACACCAGAAATGTAGGCCATGGCGACGTAGTCGATGTGCTTCTCCTCTGCGACGAAGAAATCGATGTCGTTCGGAGCCCACTCGCGCTGTGCATCGAGCTTGTTCAACAATATCGCGGTACCCGCGCTGCCGGCCAGGACGACCTGGATTTTGCCGTGCAGGAGGTGGCGCAGGAAACCGCGCACGAGCATGTCCGAGTGGTACATGGCCTTACTTGGCGACAGGGCCGCCATACCCCGGTCGCAGGTAGCCATCCACGTCATCTGGGGGCGACTTCCAGAGCGCAGGGTGGCGACGTAAGCACTCACGCTGAACGAGCAAGGCTCCTGGCGACGCGGTGGATCTCCCTATCGGCCCGCGTGCCGTGTGAGGGGTGTGCCAAAATGGGTGGCGTTGACGCATGCAGACGCTGCCACTGGAGCCTTCGGTGGAGTTCCCTATGGGGCCACGAACCGTGTGAGGGGTATGCCCACCCAATTGTGTGGCGCTGACGCATGCAACCGCTGCCACTGGAGCCTTCGGTGGAGCTCCCTATTGGGCCACGAACCGTGTGAGGGGTATACCGACTTGATGGCGTTACGCATGCACCTGTTCCCACTGGAGGAACCTTCGGTGGAGCTCCCTATGGGGCCACGAGCCGTGTAAGAGAGGTGTGCAAGTGTGCCGAAATGGGTGGCGTTGACGCATGCAACCGCTGCCATTGGAGCCTTCGGTGGAGCTCCCTATTGGGCCACGAACCGTGTGAGGGGTATGCCGACATGGGTGGCGCTGACGCATGCAGACGCTGCCACTGGAGCCTTCGGTGGAGCTCCCTATGGGGCCACGGACCGTGTGAGGGGGGTGTGCCCAATTCGGTGGCGCTGACGCATGCAACCGCTGCCACTTGAGCCATCGGTGGAACTCTCGATTGGTCCACGAACTATGTGAAGAAGGGTGTGCCGACATGGGTGGCGTTGACGCATGCAACCGCTTCCACTGGAGCGTTCGGTGGCGCTCCCTATGGGGCCACGAGCCGTGTGAGGGGGTGTGCCGAAATGGGTGGCGTTGACGCATGCAACCGCTGCCACTGGAGCCTTCGGTGGAGCTCCTTTTTGGGCCACGAACCGTGTGAGGGGTATGCCGAAATGGGTGGCGGTGACGCATGCAACCGCTGCCACTGGAGCCTTCGGTGGAGCTCCCTATTAGGCCACGAACCGTGTGAGGGGTGTGTGCCGACATGGGTGGCGTTGACGCATGCAAACGCTGCCACTGGAGCCTTCGGTGGAGCTCCCTATGGGGCCACGAGCCGTGTGAGGGGGGTGTGCCGAAATGGGTGGCGTTGACGCATGCAACCGCTGCCACTGGAGCCTTCGGTGGAGCTCCCTATGGGGCCACGAACCGTGTGAAGGGGGGGGGGGGCGACATGGGTGGCGTTGACGCATGCAATCGCTGCCACTGGAGCCTTCGGTGGAGCTCCCTATTGGGCCCCGAAATAGGCGGCGGTGACGCATGCAACCGCTGCCACTGGAGTCTTCGGTGGAGCTCCCTATGGGGCCACGAACCGTGTGAGGGGTGTGCCCAATTCGGTGGCGCTGACCTGTGCAACCGCTGCCACTGGAGCCATCGGTGGAACTCCCGATTGGGCCACGAACTGTGTGAAGAAGGGTGCGCCGACATGGGTGACGTTGACGCATGCAACCGCTGCCACTGGAGCCTTCGGTGGTGCTCCCTATGGGACCACAGACCGTGTGAAGGGTGTGTGCCGACATGGGTGGCGTTGACGCATGCAACCGCTGCCACTGGAGCCTTCGGTGGAGCTCCCTATGGGGCCACGGACCGTGTGAGGGGGGTGCGCCGAATTGGTGGCGTTGACGCATGCAACCGCCGCCACTGGAGCCTTCGGTGGAGCTCCCTATGGGGCCACGGACCGTGTGAGGGGCGTGCCACGACGCTGACGATGGCGGTGTTGATGACGCCGAAGATGGCGATGGTGACCACGATGATGACGATAGTGATGACGATGATGGCACGCGGAGAGCAGAGGCAGGTGTGGGATAAGGGAGGAAAGGGGGGGAAGGAGGCTGGAACGCGTGGCGCCGTCTCATCAAAACGAGGACCCAACACCGCAGGATGGCTGGGAAAGAGATGTGAAAGTGGATGTGGAAAACGGGATGCTTTCACTCAGCGGAATTAAGAGCAAGCCGACAGCGTGTCTAAAAGCGGGCGCGGTGCCTGGCCAGGCTACAAGTGGCGACGGAAGGCACCGGCAGCACCAGGCAGAGATGGTGCGAAGGAGGCAGGACAGATCCCGTTCGAGGAGGAGGGGAAGGATGAGGAGGAGGAGAAGGAGGAGGAGGAGGAAGAGGAAAGAGGGAGGAGGAGGAGAAGGAGGAGAGGGAGGAGGAGGAGGAGGAGGAGGAGGAGGAGGAGAGGAGGAGGAGGAGAGGAGGATGGGAGGAGGAGGAGGAGGAGGAGGAGAGAGGGGAGGAGGAGGAAAGAGGAAGGAGGAGAAATGAACTGAGGACGACGGCGGCGGCGACGACCGCGATGACGGCAGCACGGCCTTGCCGCGAGGCCCCACGCGCTCCGCGAACGGCACCGTGTAGCAGCCGAGGTTCGCTCCTGCTCGCCGGGAGGCCCCGACGATGAGGCGAAGGAGACCAGGGGAGGAGGAGGAGCAGGAGGAGGAGGAGGAGGAGGAGGAGGAGGAGGAGGAACGTTGGGAAGGGGGACCAGTTCAGGGGGTGGGGGGGGCGAAACATCGACCTGGAATCGGCGACGCATCGCCGATAGATCTGCAGTAGGCCCCCGATCGCGAATCCACGCGTTCCTGGGCGGGATGGGTTATCGGGACCCTATCGGCGATTAATGGGCGATTACCGGTCGACGCATCCCCCCCTTGAGTCGACTATGATCAATGGAAAAATCACCCAATCGAAAAACAACGCACAATCCCCCTGGACAACCCCGGCAACACATGCTGAGTCATGGCGGCGAGGCAACCTACCCCGGACAACCTCTTGGACGATCCAGCGGGGATCCGAACAATCCCACCAGACACCCCCCTTGGAAAAGCCTCCTCGGGATCTCTTCCATAAGACATGTCGCCGTGCCGTTTGTTCTCGACACGCCCAAAAGGACGACGCCGACACCACGGCAAACCCACTGCAAGCCCTGCGTCCCGCGTCCAAGTAGACGAAGTCAGCACCGCGGCAAACCCCACGCCGAGCCCACCGCGCCCGAGGCGGCGTTTGCCCTGGTGCCCGCGGCGCCCTCGCCAAGACGCGCGGCAGCGCGGAAGAACAAATGGCACGGCGACATATACTATCCTTAGGTTGGGCCTGTCCCCCCCACAGGGGGATCATCGACGACAAATGTTAAATACCCCAAAAATGCACCAAAAATATCAAAAATACCCCAAGAACAGTCCCCCGACTATTTTTCATTTTTTTTTGATTATTCTCAACCCTCCTGCGTTGGGTACTCGTTTTGAATTGAGCACTGGGGTGTGGTCTCCACCTTCCTCCTCCTCCCGCCTCCTCCCGCCTCCTCCTCTCTTCTCTTGCTCTTACCCCTGGGGGGCTGCGATCTGTGAAACTGTCGCCACTTTCGAGGGCTGCTGGGGGGCCCAGGGGAGTGACGCCCTACGGGGACTCAGATTTGACCTCGCCATCTCTGGGGGGCTGCGATCTGTGAAACTGTCGCCACTTTCGAGGGCTGCTGGGGGGCCCAGCGGAGTGACGCCCTACGGGGACTCAGATTAGACCTCGCCATCCCTGGGGGGCTGCGATCTGTGAAACTGTCGCCACTTTCGAGGGCTGCTGGGGGGCCCAGCGGAGTGACGCCTACGGGGACTCAGATTAGACCTCGCCATCCCTGGGGGGCTGCGATATGTGAAACTGTCGCCACTTTCGAGGGCTGCTGGGGTGGCCAGCGGAGTGACGCCCCACGGGGACTCAGATTTGACCTCGCCATCCCTGGGGGGCTGCGATCTGTGAAACTGTTGCCACTTTCGAGGACTGCTGGGGTGGCCAGCGGAGTGACGCCCTACGGGGACTCAAATTAAACCTCGCCGTCTCTGGGGGGCTGCGATCTGCGAAACTGTCGCCGCTTTCGAGGGCGGCTGGGGTGGCCAGCGGAGCGACGCCCTACGGGGACTCAGATTAGACCTCGCCATCCCTGGGGGGCTGCGATCTGTGAAACTGTCGCCACTTTCGAGGCTGCTGGGGTGGCCAGCGGAGTGACGCCCCACGGGGACTTAGATTAGACCTCGCCATCTCTGGGGGGCTGCGATCTGTGAAACTGTCGCCACTTTCGAGGGCTGCTGGGGTGGCCAGCGGAGTGACGCCCTACGGGGACTCAGATTAGACCTCGCCATCCCTGGGGGGCTGCGATCTGCGAAACTGTCGCCGCTTTCGAGGGCTGCTGGGGGGCCCAGCGGAGTGACGCCCTACGGGGACTCAGATTAGACCTCGCCATCCCTGGGGGGCTGCGATCTGTGAAACTGTCGCCACTTTCGAGGGCTGCTGGGGGGCCCAGCGGAGTGACGCCCTACGGGGACTTAGATTAGACCTCGCCATCCCTGGGGGGCTGCGATCTGTGAAACTGTCGCCACTTTCGAGGGCTGCACCTCTACGTGATGCTGTCCAGGGCGACGACGATAGACAACCTACTGATGGTGTGCGACCCCGGCCTTGAGTTTCTTTCCCGCGGCCCACCGGCAGACCTTGCAGAGAAACTGCGGAGGTTCAGTTCCCGCACTGCAACATGCAGGAAGGAGGCAGAGAAGCTGGCGCGCGAGCTAGGTCTCGATCGCTTCCTGCACTAGATATAAACAGGTAAGATCCTGTGGACAGGCAGCAGGCATGCGTTGACCGAGCTCCTGCAAAAACGAAACAGTCTCTTGCTTCCTCCCTCCTCTTTCATCACGCCGCCCTAGTCCTCCTGTCACCTTCTGCATTCATGCTGCTGCTGCTGCGATGGCTCCTCGCCCCTTCCTACTGGGTTCGTCCTTCTCCTGTCCCTCGTTCCCGCCCCCGCTATTGTTTAACGAGCCTTGAGACCTACTCCTCGTCTTATCGATTGCTGTTCTGTGAGTCGTGCAACATTACGCATCCCATGTAGGTCGCACTACAAATCGCCGCGCCTGCACTGTCACGGTTCCTGCTAATGTTTCCCTACTCCTCTTGCCACGTGATGCCATCGGGTTGGGTACGTCGCAGGGTAATTTTTGGTGTATTTTTTGTTTTTCGTCGAAAATCCCCCTGTATGGGGACACGCCCGACATAACACTATCCCCCACGAGCGTTGCCCCCGAGGAGGGGAGGAGACGGGAAGAGAGGGGCTCAGGCCTCCGACGTCATGACTTCTCACGCTCCCAAGGGTCTCTCCTTTGACTCGGCCTCCGGAGCTCCTCTTACGGGCCCTGGGCCGTC